CCCCCTCCCCCTCGGTGTTTGCCATCGGGACTTTGTTTTCGTCGCTTGACAACGACGTTGTAAAACAAGCCAATTCACATCGTGAACTCGGCAACCAGGATACCGTTTTTTCATTTCTCACCTCTGTTTTTTTTTGGCGGTAACCATAATGGTGGTCGAGTACATCATGTTGTGCAGGGTGGAGAAGCCTCACTGCGCGCGACGGGGATGATCGCCCTACATCGTGTTAAAATGGTCAAGTACCCTGGAGGCAGTTACACAGAGCTTACAACTGTCTCTGGAAGTGAAAGCACCAGAAACGAAATTGATTCATACGCAGCTGTCATCCGTACGCATGGAAGTAAGCACAAGATGCCGNAGGGTGGAGAAGCCTCACTGCGCGCGACGGGGATGATCGCCCTACATCGTGTTAAAATGGTCAAGTACCCTGGAGGCAGTTACACAGAGCTTACAACTGTCTCTGGAAGTGAAAGCACCAGAAACGAAATTGATTCATACGCAGCTGTCATCCGTACGCATGGAAGTAAGCACAAGATGCCGAACACCCTTAGCAGGATGCAGCGCACCCTTCATGCGACTCGCGGAATATCTCACGGCTTTTCGCGCTTGGTCAGGTGAGAGCCTGGTCCGGTGAGAACCCGGCGTGCTCCGTCCCGGCTTTGTAGGGATGCGAGGTCAATGGTCTAACGACTACGGCATGCACGACTATGAGTACCCCCCCCCCCCCGGTGCCATCTCGCCGCCCGGTGCCATCCCTCCGACCGGTGCCATCTGTCGGACTATTACGTTGATGCTCTCTGCTCCTGCTCGTGCAGCTGCCTCGTTAGTACGGCGAAAAAGTCGCGATCGTTGGGTACCGAGCTTTCAGTTGTGAAACAGAGTTTGGATTGATTGCGCACAAGTGGTCGAGTTGAAAGCAGAACTCACGGCGCAACAACTGGCCTGCGGCCGTTGGTGGTAGCGGTGTTCGAAGTCCTCTGCAAGTGTCGTGGCAAAACCGCGGTCTGTGCCAAGAGTTTCAGCGTCTACCAGCAACGAGACCTCGAATGCGTTGAGCTGTAAAAGCTCATAGGGGTTCCAGGTAATTGTGAAATATAGGGCAGTACATGGTGCACGTTCTTTAATCTTTAATTTTCGCACATCGGGGTCAACTGAGTGTGTGATGTTGAGGCGTACCAATGAAAGCAACCACTTGTCTGGGAGGCCGAACAGTTGGTTGGGAATCGTCCGCGAGGCAGACTGTCCGAAAAATCGGGAAGAGGCAACGATTGCACAAGAAAGAGTTGCCGGCCATGTTGGCGCGCTGAATAGGCAGCAGGCATCGATCCGGAGTCTGTGGTGCTGGGTGTCGCGACTTCTATCAGGAGATCCACAGTACTGTTCGCCCCGTATCAAGTGTCGCGTGATTCCACCCACCCGAAACATGTGTTTGACGCCCCCCCTCCCCCCTCCGTGCTTCACGCCCAAAATTGTGAGCAGGGGGATTGCTTTCGGGTGGCGGCGATGCGGGCAGGGTCAGGGGCCGTAGCGACGGCCGCCGGTTGGTCGGGCTGACAAGAACCTTGAGAGGAGGTGGGGCAGCGGGCGAGTCCGACCTGCGGCTATCGACATCGACGTCGTCGACCACGTCGGAAGCCGCGGCAACAGTTGCGACCTCCGTCGTGTCGAGACGAAAAACAACGGCGAGCGCCACCGAGCTCAAAAACGCGGCGGAACCGGTGTCGCTTGGGGGCGTTGTGGAAGAAGGGGACGAGGGCGAGGAGTCGGCCGGCTTGGTCATTGGTGCAGGGGAGGGGTTGTTGGGGGCGACGCGCGTTGGGGAAGGGGTGAAGGTTAGGGGGGGGGTGGTGGCCGGGCTGATCACCAAGGTTTTCGCCATCGAGAAGCACGAGCTGCGGAAGTTCCTGACCATGTCGGTCATGATGTTCGCAATCATCTACGTCTTCACCATGACCAGGTGAAGACAGTATACTGATGTTTGTGAATGGTTGTGTAGAGCATGCGGTGTTTTTTTTATGTGTGGTAAGAATCATAGGTTTTCCTGTCATAGGCGCAGGCCGCGTCGAACCAATGACAACGCACAGAACACGAACAGTTCAGGATTTCTCGATGGTGTTGTCCCTCGAGGTGTGGAGGAGTGTGTTTGCCTTTTGTTTGGTGACAATTAACGCCCTTACGATGGGGGGAGGGGGGGGTGTACTCATAGTCGTGCATGCCGTAGTCGTTAGACCATTGACCTCGCATCCCTACAAAGCCGGGACGGAGCACGCCGGGTTCTCACCGGACCAGGCTCTCACATCACCAAGCGCGAAGCGCCGTGAGATATTCGGCGAGTCGCATGAAGGGTGCGCTGCATCCTGCTAAGGGTGTTCGGCATCTTGTGCTTACTTCCTTGCGTACGGATGACAGCTGCGTATGAATTAATTTATTTTCTGGTGCTTTCACTTCCAGAGACAGTTGTAAGCACTGTGTAACTGCCTCGAGGGTGCTTGACCATTTTAACACAACGTGGTGCGATCATCCCCCTTGCGGGGAGTGAGGGTTCTCCACCCCGCACAACATGATCTACTCGACCACCATTATGGTTACCGCAAAAAAAACAACAGAGGTGAAAAAAAAAACGGTAACCTGGTTGCCGAGTTAACGAAGTGAATTGGCTTGTTATACAACGTCATTGCCAAGCGACGAAAACCCAATCCCGATGGCAAACATCGAGGGGGGGGGCTCACGATGTGGTCGAGGAATTGGACATCACCTTATCCTTGGGGCTTCTCGAACGTGGTGAATTACAAAGGTGCTGCCTTTTCTCTAATTATCTTGGCTCTCCATTTCCGGCGTGCGAAATGTTAAAGGAAGAGGCTTGTGTGGACCCGGGAAGTCATGGAACCGCGACGATGAAACCGTAAAGTACGAGCGAAGCGGCACAGCCAGACATCCGTTGTTTGTTGGCCGAAAGGGCGTGGTTCGGATCCCTCCGCCTGCTGCTCTTTGGGTCTCCTCGCGCTGTTGACGTCGCTGTGTTGTAGATGACGCTTGTGTCTGTTTTTTTCTTAGTCATTATTGCATCAATCGCGGTTAAGCCGGCTGACCGCCAAGAAGACGTCGGTCCTTTGGCGGGATGAAAAACACGAGCACCTCCTAGTAAAAAAGGGTAAGAGTTCACCGACCGGTGTGTGTGTATTGAAATATTACTAGAATTGACCGCTCTAACCGGCTGACCAATGAAATACGTCGGTGCCAGCGGGTAAAGTCAACACTCGTGGAAGGGGGCCAAAATTCGAAGAATGTGTGTGTGCGTGTTTTCTCGCCGCTATATACATATACAATGTCGTTCGTCTACGATGATTTATTTCTCTGACAGGGACACGAAGGACGCGCTGGTAGTGACCAACTGCGGCGCGGAGGCAATCGCCTTCCTCAAGGTATGCAACATAGTTGGATCGCCACAGCGGAGACAGTTACGTCGATGAGCGTTTCGCGACCTTGTGGCCTGCGTCGCATTCTCTCTTTTTTTCGTTTGTTCATCACTTCAAATCAGTCCGGATTTTTTTGCAGCGGCGTTGCCCCCAAATGCGTCGGTTGCAGTGCAGGCTTTCTTCACCATCGAGACCTCCGAAAAGCCGTAGCAGACGTTCACAGGGGTGTAAAAAGAAGGTAGCCACAGCGTTTTAGGGGTCGAGATGGTGACAACGTCGAAGCCGGAGTTACGGGCCAGACTTTTTAGATGTGCGTGTACGCAACGCACAAATACCCCCCGGAGATTGCGCACCGTCTCCTGGTACCCGTTTTAGCAAAGAACGAGAACCAAGCCTTGACGAGCTGCAACCCAGCAATTTTGGCACACGCACGCACAGGTCTACGCGGTGCTGCCTGCGGCGGCACTGTTCATGATCGGCTACAACTGGCTGTCCAACCACGTCGGGAGCCGGGCGCTGTTCCACATGACCATCACGCCGTTCTTCGCCTTCTACGCGTTGTTTGCCTTCGTCATGTACCCCATGAGAGGGGTCTTGCATCACTCTGCTGGTGCGTCACCGTTAGTATTGCTGCTGCTGCTGCTGCTGCTGCTGTCATCGCTCTTTGGTTTTGCTGTGGTTGTGATGATGGTGGCAATTAACCTCAGCGGGTACAGAAGCAGTGGCGGTAGTGTGTTGCGCCTCTCTTTCACTCTCGAAGTACAAGCCTCACTTGGCTTCACTTACCCAGCAGCAAATGGAGTACTTGCAGGGTCCTACCACGGTTATGGTGATGGGTGGAGGTCGTGTATTGCCGTTGGCAATCTGTGTTGTGTTGATGCTGATTTTGGTCACTTACGTGGTGATGATGACAATGATGAACTCTCCCGGTTAAGCCTTAACCTTGCCCGAGACAACAAGCGCCAGGCGAACGCACGGTGTAATTGCCACGCCCTTCCTTGCTGTGGCCGTGACACGCGCGCTGCTGCTGCTGCTGCTGCTGCTGCTGGTACTGCCGCATCTTTCTCAGGGGCGATGGGCAAAGACGAGCACGTGTTCTCGCACATGATCAACATGGGGCGCTTCTGGATGTTCTCGCTCTACTACGTGGTCTCGGAGCTGTGGGGCTCGGTACGATGGTGTATTTTCGCTTAGGATGTACTTAAGTCCTCCTCCTCCGCCGCCGTGGAACGGTGTTTCTTCTTCGAAGGCTTTTGTGGTTGTACGTCTTGACAAGAGCTTGCCAAAGCCGCAACGCCGCGCCCCGCCGTGCGATTATCGCGCGCTGCTTCTTCTGCTGCTGACAAGAGTACCAACGGTCTGTCCGCTGCTTTGTGTTGCTATTTACTTGCTGCTCCTGCTGCCGCCCCTGATACTGCCTCTTTGCTTCTCCTGCTGCTGCTACTTTGCTTCTCGCTGTTGGTGGCTCTCGATGGGGTTGCCGGTCAACGTACCACCACCGTCATCATCGCCCACCTTCTACACAACCACCGCCGCCCGCCCGCCGTGTCCCTCCCTCCAGGCGGGCGTGCCGCTCTTGTTCTGGACGTGCGCGAACGAGGTGACCCCCATGACGCAGGCCAAGCGCTTCTACCCGCTCTTCGCCATCCTCGGCAACCTGGGCCCCATCGCCTCGGGGCAGACGATGGCCTACGTTAGCCGTAACCGCCCGGCGGGGATGGACGCCGAGGTGGCCTTCGAACGCACGCTGAAGGTACGTAATCCTTGCACTATCCCTAACCCTAACCCTAACTCTAACCTTGTTGTAAGTTTTCAGCGGCCTTCTGGAGGATGCCGTAGGTTGTGTAAGGTATCGCATCCCCCTGGGCCGATTTTCAAAGCTCGATTTCTCGGCGGGGAAAACAGTGGCGGCGCTGATAATGGCGGCGTTGAAACCGCCTCGTCGAGAGCTGTCCGATGACATGTCGTTTGAGCTCGACTTTCTCTTCGCCGTGGAGTAATCGGGCTTTCAAAATCGGTCCACGGGGTGTGTTATCTTATGCAACCTATGGTATTTAGCTTGGTTTTAGTAGGGGGTGCGGGGCGTGGTTATGGTTATAGGGATAGGGATACGAACCCCCCCCTCTCTTTTTCATACGATTAATAGTTAACTCCTCACGAAGGCAGTCCTGTGTTTTGATCTGGTTTGGTTGTTGTGATTGTTGTTGTGATTGGGTTTGTCCAAGTGGGGCAAAGAGCAGGAAGTTCTTTTCGCGGGTGGCTGTGTTTGTTGCTCTGCTGTTCGCACCGTGAGGGTGGTGTGTTCTGTGGCGATGCCAGGGGAGGGAGGGGTGCCCTACTTGTTGGAGTTGAGTGACGGGATGTGCTACAAGATAAAGAGAAGGGAGGTATGGACTACAGGATGAAGAGAGCTGTGGACTCCTACCAGTGCTTACAAAGAACAAGGCGGCGCCGATGTTATCGAAGGGTCCATGCTGCTTACGTATCGTATCGCTGTGTCACGTTGTGGGCCTACGCTGCTGCGCTACCGCCGTCTACGTTTTCGTCATTGCCTTTTTTTTGTCGTGTCGACTGCTATCTGCTATCTGCTATCGGGAATGGCGTGGGCTGTGGACTCACGCAGAACTATTATATTACGTCTCTTGACTCCCCCCACGTCGAATACGACCCTCTTTGCGCCACGTCGCCCCTTTCACGACAAACCAACCGGTGCCGCTATGTCTTCTCGACCCCCGTGTGCCCCCCCCACCCCCCCTCTCGCGGGGAAAATGACGCCGCGGGGATTGGCTGGGAATGTTTTGCGCCATCTATCTGCCCTAGATTCTGACGAGCCTGATTCTTGGAGCGGGAGGAAGCATCATGGTGTTGTACGAAGTGATCATGGCCATTAGCAAGAAGGAGGCCGAAGACAGTGAGTTCAGAGCTACCATCTGCAGAACAGAATAAATCTTGGAGTACAGTAGATTTTTTTCCAGGGTAAGCCTGTGACCACGGGCGGAGGGAGGTACTGGAGAGAGAGGGAGAGATATGGACGTTGTTAGTGTGACGACGACAACAGTACTCGCCACCAAGGTTTGTAAGAAATTTGCAGTCAAGACAGGGCCTAAGAAGACAAAATGTGCGGCAAGAACTTGTCCATTAAGAATAGGTGCTCAGTTCAGATTCCCGCACTCAAACCTACAAACAAAGACGCGAGCCTAGCCCGGGCGAAGGAAGAGTTTGTTAAGCGAGGGCGCGTCCTGCATTGTTGTTGTTGTTCTTCTTCTTGTCTTCACATTGAAAAACGGTCCGATTTCTCTGCCCAGTATCTTCATCCTTGATGTGTTGGTACTGGATTGCCACCCTTTTTTTTTTACGCAGAAGTTGCATACCCCACAGGGAGAAAAGGGAAGAAGCCTTTCCTCGGACAAAGAACGAGTTAATGAAGCGCCCGTGCGTTCCGAAACGTGTTTTTGATGCAGAGGACGCGTGCCCCACAGAGAATATGAAACAAGTCCCGGACAGAGTAAAGAGTTTCGGCCTTGAATGCGCGCGCGTTTGGCCTTGTGGTGTACCCTTTCATGGCGCAGACGATGCGCTCAAGAGCCCCAAGGAGCGGCGGCGCAAGCAGAGGAAGCTCGCCAAGGAGAAGGCCAAGCAGAAGATGGGGCTCCTCGACTCCTTCCGCTTCCTCTCCAAGTCCAAGTACCTGGGCTACGTCGGGCTCATCGTGATCAGCTACGGGCTGTCGATGGAGTTCACGGAGATCGTCTGGAAGGTGACTGCTGCCCCCCCTTCCCCCCCGCCTCACGGGGGCCCTACCCGTTGAAGCACACAGTTTCGCAGAAAGCTCGGGAGAAATTGGAACCGAGGCCTGCGGATAAAGCAGCAGACTTTCCATCGTGAAGCAAGGTTGCGGAGTAGCAGTAGCTTGGCCTGCTTGTTTTCCCTCGCGTTTATCACTGAGTTGGGTACGAGTTACACCACAACACACATCACACACATCAGTAGTGCATAGCTGTCTCCCTGTTGGTACGCCCAGTGGTGGCTCCGACAGGGCGAAAAACTGGACAGGTGTTTAGACGTTAGTCGTTACGAAAAACCACAAAAAAAGAACGCGCGAAGGAAGATGTGGAGCCTGTTACCCACAGGGTAGATATCGCTAGATACTACAAGTTGGTCTCATGTACAACACTCTGAATTCATTGGTTATCTATCTATCCCGGAAATCTTATCTGTGGAAGAGAAGAAAAATGTGTTTTTTGTAAGAAACACAAAAAAAAATTGGGTGCCTCGCGCAAGCGACGAAAACTCAAACCTCCCGAACCGGCCGTTCGATTGATGAATCTCCCGCCACACGACAATAGGCCATCGTGAAGCTGGCGTACCCGGACAAGAGCGACTACATGGCCTTCATGGGACAGTATAGCAGCATCGTCGGCGTGACGACGGCCTTCATGCTCCTGGTCGGCAAGGAGGTGATCAAGTACCTCGGGTGGGAGGTGGGGGCTCTGGCCACCCCCGCGGTGATGGCCGGCCTGGCCGTGCCCTTCTTCGGGTGAGTCATGGTTTATACTAGAAAGTATTCGTACCGTGAAAGATAGACTACTCGTTTGAGATATTACCGCAGCAGTCGAAGGGATCGTGTTGCAGTCTTGACGGTGAGTGCCAAGAAAACCGCTTTGTACCTTGCTTACCTTTTGGCCTGACCTGGCGGTACTTGTGGTACATGTACCTTGTGGTTGGTACTGCTGTACCTTTTTTTGTCGTTTTGCGCTGTGCTGTGTGTCCTATCTTATCTTGTCTTATCTTAACGTGTCGTTTTTTCATTTTTCCCGGGAGTGTGTGTGTGTGTGTGTGTGTGTGTCCTCAAAGCTGTGTCGTGGTCGTTGTCGTTGTGGTGCTGTCGATGACGGATGTCTGCTGTGTTCTGACTCGCGATTGATGTTATGGCGCCGCTCCTCGCCGTCCTTTCGTCCTGTACTGTGTTCCTTGCGATTCTCCTAGAAGCACGTAGTGAGTAGTGCAATTGTTGGCGGCTCCCTGGGATGATAACGAAACAGACATCACACGCTTCTACGAGTAGCTGCTCTCGCCTTGGCACTGACTCCCCTCTTCCTCATGCTACATGACCGTATGCGTACGTTGTTCTTGATTTGGCGGTTTCGCCCCTCCCGAAAGGTACATCATCTTCGGAGATATCCAGCAGTCCAAGAAGACCCTGATGATGGCGGTGTGGGTGGGCATGGTGCAGAACGTCCTCAGCAAGGCCACGAAGTACGCCCTCTTCGACCCCACAAAGGAGATGGCCTACATCCCTCTCGACAAGGAGTCGAAGGTGATTGATTATTGATTAAAGAGGGGTGAGGGGGGGTGCACTCATGCCGTAGTCGTTTGACCATTGACCTCAGCCTTCATCCCTCTCGACATGGAATGATTTATGAGGAGGGGGGCGTACATATTACTTGGTTGCCTGAGCGGTTAGACTGGGCGTTGTCGCAAGGGGCTACGGTTACATAAGTGGTTGCGGTCTAAGTGAGTGTTGGAACAGGCCAACAACACCGTACCTCTCAAGTCTAGCCTGCTGTGTATTACAGTAAATGCCTTTCTTATGATGATGGAGACAAGCAAAAGAACTCTCTTCTATCCGATTTTCTCTTCAAGCTGTCTTGAACCGCAGCCGCTACTGTACAGCACGGTGGGTTGGTCTCCACACGCGCGTATCACCTCCGCGTGACAGCCCCCCTCCCCCCTACCCCTTACTGAATCTTTTCTTGATGCATCGGGTTAAATAGTCTACACTTGTTTCACTTGTTCCGTCTTGATTTTTTTTCCCATGAGCTCTCTCGTGTTTCGATGTGCCTTATCTCAAGGCCAGGCACACGAAACAATTGCTTGTTACGTACTTGTGCACGTTTGCAACCTTATTTTATTTCTTTTTATTTTTCCACGAACGGTGTACCAGTGCTTGTTATATGGTATTTGGTTGCGCAGTGTTTGCGCAGGTGGGTTGTAACTGTTCACGCGTTCGCTCTCACGTTTCTCGTTTCGACTTTTTCCATTATCTAGTTTCGAGTCCTTCTTCATCTCCTCTCGCGTCTTACGGTGCACCCCCGCTACTGCTGCTGCCGTGTGTTCTTTATTTACGGCGTTTTTTTTTTTTTGCAGGTGAAGGGCAAGGCCGCCATCGACGTGTTGGGGGCGAGGCTGGGCAAGTCGGGCGGAGCCCTCGCACAACAGGGGCTGGTGGTGGCATGTGGATCAATCCTCACGGGAGCACCGGTCCTGGCCACCCTGTTTGCCATGGTGAGCGAGACAGTTTTGTCTCTTGAGGGAGCGGGGCAAGTTGCGTCCGCACGGTTGTCATGCTGTTGTCGGTCTTGTTGTTGTTGGTGTCATCGCTGCTACTGTTTGTTGGTGTTGTTGCTGCTGTTGTTGGCGGTCTTGTATTTTGTTGTAGTTGCTGCCTTGACGACAAACAACGCTTGAACCCCCACCCACAGCAGTAGCAGTAGCAGCAGCAGTCCTGTTGGCAGCACAAGCGGTTTGAACCGGTCCATGGCCTTGACTGTATCAACGTCCCCTTTTTTTCTCCCAACTTGTGTAACTCCCAGGTTGTTTTGGTGAGGTGTAGTAATGTTGGGGTATCCCCCTGCCCCCTCACCCAATAGTTGTTTCTGAGTTACCGTGGGTCGTCGATGCAAACCCACAGATTGTCTGACAACCCTTTCATACGCACACCTCGATTTCGCTACAAAAAGAGCCTTCGACATGCCAACATGAAACCAAAATGCTGCACGTGTCACGGAGAGCATGCCGTACTTGCAGGTCCAAACACAAGTTTCGTGTCGCGTACAGCTCAACAGCGTGAGATCTACCAAAACGTCTGGCCGTTTTCAAGTCTGAATCATATGTGCCTTGTTTTTTGCCTCCCCGCATCTATTTACACAGGTGTCGGCCATGTGGATCACTTCGGTGGTGAATCTGGCGAAGCTGTTCAGGGTGCGCCAGGCCGAGGCAGAGAAGGCGGCGGCCGAGGGACACCGATGAACCAGCCAATCAGAGTCACCCGTTCGTTCTGCTGTGCCATCTCTACCTGGGAGTTGAAGTTTGACTGGAGTACATCGGTTGGTGGGGGGCGCGGGGTCATAGCTTGCGCGCCACGCGGTTGGTCTGCTCATTTAGAGTGGGTTGATGGGACATGCTATGATCGATGCTCGTGTAGAGTGGGCCGATGGACACATGCAGAAGCGGGTGTGTGCCCGTATTGTTCATGTCGTGGAATAGATCAGTTTCACTGTTCCGACCGGTGATGGTGGTCTCTGGTGCTTGGGGGTCAAAGGAGACGATAGGGAACGGGCCAACAAACTCATTGCGAGTATCCCGAGGGTGGACGGGGCTACAACACATACTCCACGCAGAGCGAGATTTGATGCTTGATTTTGTAGGGGGCCATTCCCAACCCCCATCGAGGCATCGTCATTGTGCTTGGTGAACCGGGTGTTGGTTGTAACCTCTTGACTAATGCCTTGCGCCGTAGAATATTGTCCACTTTGGGTACTGCAGATTTTATCCTACTTAGTACGTGGGTTAGCAACTGGTTCAGGTTAGCTTAGGAGGTGGTGGAATGTGACGTTAGCTGGTCGCTTAACACCTTGGTTGTGCTTGAGAATGTGGCGGGAGCAACGGCTCTCATGGAAGCATTTCATGAGCTCTATATTGTATAGATGACCTCAGTCTCTTGAGGGCAAACCACGGATATGTCCATGTCGTCCGTTTTCGCGTGGAAACCGTGAATATGAAGAAGCGCCTTCCTCCCTTCATTTGCGTGCGTCCAGGCTGGGACTTGAGCAATCGAGGGCAGGCGCTTTGGAAAACACACAAAAAGAGACTGCAGTTTGTCCCCCCGTCTTTTGCTCGTAGTGCGAGAGAATGAGGTGTGTTGTCCTGCACTCTGAGGCCTACTACGCGGGATTTCGCGAGTCGGAGAAAGCGGCGACAGGAATCATTCGCACAATGCGTCAAAAATGATGAGGCAGAAAAGCGGGTGCTCTCAAGATGAAATCGTTATCTATCCCGGTCATCCTCTGGGAAAATTTGAGTTGGTGTATCCCTTTGAACATGTACTTCATTTTCCAGAATTATTGCCGTCTCTTCCGTGTGTTCCCAATCGGACCATCAATGTTTTCCTTCAAACGGCGGAACGAGGATGCGTACGTTGCCGTCGGCGTTAGCAAATCGAGGGCCGCATGGCGTCTATCTCTCCCGGCCCAAGCGAGGTGGGTGCTGCAACCCCTTCTTCCTGTCTCTGCCTCCAACAGCGTTGTTGTGACGACGGCACGAAGCTCTTCTCTGCAAGCCAAAAGACAGCAATGATTGTGAAAGAGATGAAATGAAAATCAATGCGGTCCACCTCTCTCTACCTCTCTGAACCTTTTGGGCAGACACCCATCGAGCGCGATCCGCCTTCAGCATGAAGGCAGGGGGTCGGTCTGTGCATGTGGTGCATAGCCATGGAAGTCCGTTGGCTTGCAGACTTGCTTGGTTGTCTACATATGAACGTCATGCTTCTTGTAAGTACTTCGTTCAGCGCAAAAACAATCGGCGAGTCTTCATCGTGCGGCGTGCACACTCACTCCTGCACAATAAACTATTATAGTCAAGTAATCGCGCAAGACGCCCTCTCTATGAAAACAAACAGTCAAACACGAACAACATATACCATCCATTTTCCACAAAAGAAACAAGAGACCGAATGCAAGCAAGCGCACCAAAAAGACCGCTCGACCTTCGTATACACCAAGCGCTACAAGACTAGCTATGATCCCTCGTGTACTGCTTGCTCTGGGTTGCCATGGCACACACGTTCAACATATGCGCCGCCAATCTCCGAAAGTCACTCGCTATTGCAACTCTTGCAACTCTACGAGACGGGGCAAGAACCACAAACACCAGCGGAATCGTTCTGTGCGAACTAACAACGCCCCGACGTCCGCACCATGGGGCGCCACCTCCATGACACCATCATGCCAGGCACGGAGAACAACACAGCAGTAGGATAAAAAACGTTTCACACCACGGCTTAATCCATTTCGAACCTCTCCCTACCTCTTAATCCATCTAGTACGATGGAATCTCTCCCTACCTCGCGGAACACTCCACGACGACGGAACAATGCGCAGTTTTTTTTCGATCATGCTCCCTCTCTTCTCCCCTCCCCTCTCCTCCCTCCCCCCTCCCCAAAAGGCCGACAGACGACACATACGTGGCGATGGAGGGCGGGGGCTCCGTGACAAAGAAGCTGGGTGTGTGCAGGGCTCGTAGTAACCTCTACGGCCCCATCCCGCTGATATATCGATCCGACCTACTTCTCTTGTGTTTGGTCTTACAAGCCAACACCGGACCATGGACATGGACATCCGCAAAAGCGGGTATGTCGCGAGCGATCACACGCTCCTCTTCTCCTCAAAGCGAAGGTTGGCGTACACCACACATCGTCACCGGTACCCAGCATGCGCGGAGATCTAACGGAATTAAACCAACAATAAAAAAAGACGCGGCCATCTCCGTTTCTAACATGAATTGAACCGTTTTCTCTCCCGTCTACAGATAGCTGCTGCCTCCTCGATTTGCGCAACCAATGCCAGTCAACGACACACTTTTGCTGCCTGGACCCACTGGTGTCTGCGAGGTGACGTGCCATCCAGAAGAAAGCGCCTACAGGCATAGGGTGTCTGTAGTAGTCACCGGTTCGAGGGTACAATTTTCGAAACGAATTCTTACATTGTATGCATGCGCACAATCCTCTACGTGTTGGGTACCCTTAAGGGTAGGTACCCTTTAAGACGACTCGACTGGTACGTCCTCTTCTTCCCCGTCCCCCTTGTGCGGCTGGCTAACATGGCTTAGGTAGCCCCCCCACGCGATGGACATGAAGGAGTTGAACAACGGCCGGTGGGCCGTCGGCACGTAGGCGTACAGGATCATGTCGTAGATCGGCCACACCTGCGTTTGTTTCAGTTATTGATATCAAGGGGGACAAGAAAAAAGAGGACATCCAAGGGAGGTTTGTGGCGTGGATCGTCGTCATCTTCTACACGATGGGGTCTCCAGACGGAACGCAATGCAAACGGCGGCAGCGGTGGCGGCGGGGGGGGGGGGGGGGGGGGG